GCTTCTCCCTGACTCCGCCTTCTCTCTCCCAGCATTCAGTTTAGTCCTCCCCCCCTCCCCCCACCCGTCAGCTAAGTTCTGCCTTGCTATAGGTCCAAAGCAGTTTCTTTATTAATCAATGGTACAGAGAGGAAATCCCACATCACCCCTTCCTCGTTTTCTCTACTTCCCTCCTCTTCTTCCTCCTCATTTCCTGATATCCCCCCCAAAAAAACCGGAAAATGATTGACCCCTGACCTTTCCAATTATCACATATTTCTTCACCCCAGGGGAGACTGCATTGTTCACTACTGATCACACCTCAAACATCCAGCCCCATCTTGGCAGCTCTCACACACAGGCAAACAGTTTCTGAGCCTGTTTCCCCTCACATCTGTCCTCAGGGCCCTTTTCAGAGTCCCCAAGAGGCCCCAAGAGCAGTCACCCTTCCCGCTCTCATTTCCTCAATCCCTTTGGGCTGTATTTCTAAGTGGAATGGCTGACAGGCTTAAAGTAATACTACTTTACTGGAGTGTATATCAAGGAAAGGAGAAGCTGATGTTTTCAAAGACTAACACCAGACACTTGACCTAAGGCCATGGACTGTAAAACCCTTAAAATGATCCAGACCTCTCCTCCATAAGACCTATAAAATTCACCATCTCACTGTAATGGCCCTAATTACATCTGCATTTCTTCAAAAACTACCATTCAAAATAAAAACGGCCAAATCCATTCTATTTCCTGCCAATGTAACCACCTCCTTGGCATTTAGTAGTTTTGTTTCCGCCTGTGTTTTCATTGGAAACGTGAGGTTTGTCAGCTCTGCTAAGCACAGGAGACGCGAAGAGCACCTGCCGCTCCAGCACTCACGGGCTATTGGCTGGTGGCGTCAGCTCGCCATCGCCATCGCCATCGTTGTGGAGGGCTAAGCTTCACAGTGGGAAAGTGGGGGAGGTGGAGCCGGGGAGATGGTTCAGTTAGCGAGGTGCTTGCTGTGCCAGCATGAGGACCTGAGTTCAAAATCGCAGCACCCACATAAAAACCCAGGAGCTGAGGACACGGCAGCAGGCATCTGCAATCCTAGTACTGGGAAGGCGGAGACTGGAGGCTACTTCAGGTTTGCCTGCCAGACAGTCTAGTGCAATCAGCGAGCTCCAGCTTCAGTGAGACACCCTGTCTTTACGAGGAAGGTGGAGGCCTAGAAGACTAGAAGACGCCTGGATTGGACCTTTGATCTTCACACTCCTTCGCCATACACACAGGCACAGCTGAATGCATAGGCACACACAAACATGCACACAACACACACAGGGCATGTAATTTGAAGTCTAGGAGATATAAACCCTCCTGTGTGTGTCAGTTAGCACATTTTCCTTCTGACTTGAAATAAATGCAGACAAGTTTGACTTAATCTAGCTTCCTCCAACCTTTTGATCCAAAGGGATTTTACTCCTCCAGAAGCTTTCCCATGCATCCAGAGCTTACCCAGGACTTAACAACCGGCTACCCAGCTCATTCAGGGTTAAAATTTTAATGTGTCTCTGCTACTGGCTTTGACTAGGAGTCTTTTCATTAACATAGTTGGGAGCAGAGCAGGGGTCTATGTTAATTCCTGGGCTTCACTGTCTCTTTCAATGTGGATGAAGCTGACTTTCTGTTGTTCTGTGGCTTGGCAAAGACTGAGGAAGGATTTTTAAACTAAATCTCTGCATGTCGGTATTGTGAATCCCCTTGAATGTCTTTTCCTCTCGGAGATTTTCTGGGCAGCGCATGTCTAACTGCAACCTGCTTTCCCTCTGCACAGAGAAATCCCTTGACTGTTCGCATCCATCTCCACGAAGCTTTGATAAATACGGAAACTGCCTGAATGAAGCGCGCGTGCCTGCTCCTCTTCTACTTTGTCAGAGACTTCTCGCTCTTATCGGAACACTCTCTTCCTCCAGAACATTTTGAAAAGCATTTCAATAAAAGGTGTTATATAGCTCTGGGTTTGTTTTGCTTGTAAAATATAAAATATATTGAAATGGGCCTGAAGAAAAACGTGTACATAAAAGTTGGGATGGTGAGATGGCTCTCAATAAGACACGTGACACTAAGTGGGATGATGTGCGGGATCACTCGTGTGTTCACACACACACACACACACACACACACACACACACACACACCATTTTTTAAAGACATACAGTAAGCGATGCGTGTCTGGCTCTGAGGAGAGCTTTGACAGAAACTCTAGTTTATGCTCCTGCAGTGCCTCCTGCCCAGCCCCATAACTTAACATTTTCCTCCTCCAACCCTGACAGCAGAGCCCTCGAAGAAGCACCCACCAAGCAGACCTGCCAAAAGAGTCTTTTTGCTCTGACCAATGCAGGAGGGGCAACCATTCGAATTCCAGGATGGAAAGGAAAACATAGCAAATGAGCCTTTTCCCAGGAAGTGCTCTGCTTATGTAGCCTGGGTGGCCATGTGTTTGAGGATCCCCATGTCTTCTGGAGTGCCTTTTCCCTGACAGCAAACTCACACCCGCTTGTCAGGTAGGGAGTCCCCTCCTATCTCCAACTTGCTCTTCCCATCCAGTTCAATATCCGACTGTCGCTTCCAGTTCACTGTACCCAGTTCTGCTGCAGAAGCGGCCTAAGGGCGGGACAGACTTTCCTTTACTTCTCACTCCCCTGGCGCTCTGCAGCAGTATTTTGGGGTCTCCCATATGTTTGGCACATATTGTGTGTTTAGAAATAGCATTTAAAGTTTGAGGTTAATAGCTCAGCAGATAGAGTGCTTGCCTAGTAGACATGAAGTCATGGGGTCCACCCTCAGAACCCCCAAACCAAGCCAGGGTGGTGCACACATATAATCCCAGCACTAGGAGGTGGTATCGGGAAGATCAGGAGTTTGAAGGCCATCCTTAGCTTCACAGAGAATTCAAGGTCAACTTAGGATCTATAGATTCTGTTTCAAAACAAGTTTTATTTTGAAGTGTTAAGCTTTATGTTGTTCTGTTGATGGCTGGGTATTACACAGGTCGAAACAAAGCTTTCTGCCCTCTCTTCTTGTCATCTGACATATCTGTGATCATGTCATTAATGCATAGTTTTGTACTTCTTGTGGGACTTTGTATTTCAAGCATGCAAATGACTGTTCATGTAAAATTTTACAAACAACAAGATACTGAAGCACACACACAAAGAGACAGAGAGCGTACACTCAATTATATACCAAGTATGGATCTTGAAGCATCTGCTTGGCAAATGTTGCAGCCTAGCTGGGCAACTGCACGTGGTGACATCATAACATGTCACAGACTGTTTGCATTTTTAGCATGAGTTGTCGGCATCTGAGGCTAATGCATGGTTAGAGAGGAAGAAAGACTGTAAGACGCCTTGAGGATGCAGCTTTGAGACAGCAGGCTCTTCCTTCCCTCTGTCCTGACTGTCAATCAACTCATGTAAAGAGTATCCCAAAACCTCAAGGTGACCTCATCAGAGTAGCCATCAACTTACTAGGGACGTTTAGGAGGTTCACAAGACAGAGCAGCTACAACAACCACTCAGTAAACTCAGTGTGAGGAAGTTGTGAAAGAATCAACCAGAAATCCTGACTCCAAATGTCGGTGTCTGTAACAACAGATTCATTGATCTGACAATAATATGTAAATGTTACAAATTTGTTCCTAGGGAGTTTGTTTGTATCAATAAAACCCTGTTGTCTACTCTATATATTGAGATCTCACATAGGATTTTGATGAAATAACTTTTAAATTCATCTTTATTGGTGGGTATGTGTGTGTGTATATGCATATGTGTGTGTGTATATGCATATGTGTGTGTATATGCATATGTGTGTGTGTGTGTGTGTGTGTGTGTGTGTGTGTGTTAGTGTGTGTGTGTGCATGCGCTCACACGCCACAGGGGTCATGTGGAGTTCCGAGCACCACTTCCAGATGTCAGCTCTCTCTTTCTACCTTGCATTCCAGTCACCAGCCTTGGGGCATCAGGTTTGCAAGGCAAATGCTTTCATCTGCTGAGCCATCTCACTGACTCTGGTTAAACAATTTTTAGAATCCCATCTGCGTATTTTATTTTATTAAAATAGGATCTCGTGTAGACCAGGCTGGCCTCACCTATAGAGTCAGTTTCTGATCCTCCTGCCTCTGTTTCCTGAGATTATAGGTATGTGCAACCAAGCCCAGTTTATTTGGTACTGAGAATCCAAGCACTCCATCAATTGAGCCACAACTCTAGGCCCCTGTCAGCAGTTTGTTTGTTTGTTTTCTTTCAAGTTAAAAATCAATTACAATAGCATGGATTCCATTTCCAATGTTTGGAGTCTGTATTCTGAGTCCGTAGATAATGCAAGTTCATGCCCATAATTTAATGTCTCTGAGAACTGATTTTCTGATCCACAAAGTAAAAAAGCAGTAGTTTCTCCACTTCCCACATACACATACTTAACATCAGAAGCAGGGTTCAGAATTAAAGTGGAAGTTCACGGAAGTTGTAAGCAGAACGAACTAGGGCAATAATGATACCAGACAGGTTAAATCAAACTCTGTGGAGCTGAACCAGGGTTACCTGTGGTCATAGGAGACCATAATACTTTTCAAGTTCCTTAGATAATCTTATTACATAAGATAAGATATATTCACTGATATAATCCCATTATTTACCTAAAAATAAATTTTGTTTGGAGTTACAGAGTTTCCCAGAAAACAGCAAAGCTCAAGCCACCTGGACCTTGTCCTATAGTGTGTAGCTCCTGGCCTGGATGGACTTTCAGAACCGCAGAAAACTGCAGGCTTGGACTACCATATCAAACGCTATTGCTACGCACAACCAGAAGGCCAATTACTTCAAGAACCCATACAGTAAAACAGAAACATCCAACTCCATTTTGGGCCAAGGGGATATGCTTTTTTGCTACAGTATAGACTGAACCCCGAGCCTGGAAATGCTGGGTAAGGGCATAGCACAGAGCACACCCCAACTGCTGCTTTTGATTTTAAGAGGTTTTCTGCTCACCTGAGACAGCTTGTGAAATGGGAAACCATGATGCTGCAGGTCCAGGCTAAGGCAAGGGTTCCTCAGAGGGGTCCCCCGTTTTCTGCAGGTTCAAGTGATCTTCAACTCCTATAGAAATGAAAATGGTTATTTTTTTTTTTAGCATCTCTTGCTTAGAAAAGTTCTGGAGCCCAATCAGATAAAGACACTGGGATCAATGAATGTGAGGCGGCTGACGAGACGACTCGGCTGGTAAAGACAGTTGCCACCAAACCTGCCAGTCTAACTTTGATCCCCAGGTCCCCCACGGTAGGGGAAAACTAACTGCCACAAGTTGTCTTCTGATATCACCACGTACACCTTGACAAACACCTCACACACCCTAAAACCAACAAATAAATAAATGTTAACTAAATATTAGTACATTTGCATTAATTAAAAAAACCATACAGTAGAAGCTATTAAAACGAAAAAAGCCACTTCCCAGTCACGGTGACCAGGATCTCCCAATTGGAAGGTGATACTGAATGAACACGAGGGAACAGACTTCCAGGATACTCAATACATTCCCTGACTGTGACAGCCAGTCTTCACTGGCAAGTTGAGGGTATTTGGAATCTCTTACAGGACACTGTGGGCGCATTTCCCAAGAGGTTTAACTGAGGAAAAGCCATCCTGAATGTGGGGGGGGCACCACCCATGGGCTGGGGATCCCAGACTAAATGCGAAAGGAAATAGAGAAACCCAAACGACCATCAGCATTCCTCTTTCTCTGGGTCCTGATGGTGAGCACCACGTGACCAAGCAGCTGTGCTCTCATGGCCATGCCTTCCCTATCAAGATGGACCACTTCCTCTCCAACCATGACAGCAGACTACCCTTCCCTTAAGTTGATTCTATATTTGGCCACAGAAACAAGACAAGTAACTAATGTGCCGACCCACAGAAGATGCTCAGTAGATTACTCTCAGGTTGATGCCCTCCGGTTCTGGGGTGACGAGGGGTTGGCATTAGGCAAACTGTACCAGAAATCCAGTGGCTTCTGACTGGCTACCTGACCAGAAAAGAAAATCAAGTCAGAATTTTGATTTCCCAACCGTATAGTATATAGTAAAAGTACTGCCTGTCAATGAACAGCTTAGCAGTTCTGACACAAGCTGCGGCATAGATGAACCTTAAGAGGAGCACTCCAAACGAAAGAAGCCAGACACAAAAGAACGCACATTACGTGACTCCATACACAGGTTACATATTCAGAATAGGAAACCACACAGAGACAGAGAGTAGATGAGGAGCTGCCAGGAGCAGAGGTGGAAGGTGGTAATGGGAAAATACACCGTTTGTTCCTTGGGTGACAAAAGTGTACTAAAATTAATAGCAGTAATTACACAATACTGTGAATAGACTAAAACCATTAAATTATTGACAAAATCTGGGGAATCTCCCAATAAAACAGCTTTAAAAGGACTGCCTAGGGCTGAGGATAAACTCAGAGCTAGAGTTCTAGTTTAGTGTGGATAGGACTCTGTGTTCAACTCCCAACACAAAAACAAAAACCCTACATGAAATATCACAGGTGGGGGCTGCAGAAATAGGTCATCTGGTAGAATGTGCCTACATGCACAAAACTCTGGGTTCCACCCTGTCACTATGTCAAATAGGAAGGGTCAATCCTAAGTAAACACTTGAAACATATTCCCCAGCACAGTACAGTCTGATGGGTATCATCAGCTCCATCTTATACACGAAATATTTAGATTACAGCTAGAGGAGTTGTCTCCCCGAACACAGGTTATAGAATCAAGAGAAGAACACTGTAGATTCAAATGCATGCCTGTGATCCTACCACAGGTGGTCATGCAGATCAAACAGGGAGGCATGTGAAATGCGTGTGGCCAGTGGCTGGCACATAGTGGCACTGACTTACGAGTAGCTCTGGTGATACGTATGCAGAGAGGAGCAAAGGGACACTTAAGAGTATGTTATCACCTTAAGATTAAGTAGAGAGAATACCTCCCCTACAAACACCACTCTATTCGGGTGTCCTTACCAAACAGAACTTCTAAGTACTGGCAAGCAAGGCATAAGTCTGAAAGCAAAGGAGGTTTGCATGGAATGCGATGGACTCTGAAGGAGAGGGTGGCCTGCCCCTGCACCTCCCTCTGCTCCTTTTGGGAAAGACAAATGCATGGAGCCAGGATACAGTGTGGGTGCAGACACGGGACGGATGACACCCTCTCACAGAAAGGCAGAGCTTTCAAAGATTGGTGCTCTCCACATTCTTCCCGTGATGGTAGGGGTTGGGAGGTAAATAATTGAGAGAATTTACAAAAATGAAATGGACAAGCATGAGAACTGGACAAGCCTATCCACAGGGGGAAAGAATCCAGATCTTAAGTTCCCAGCAGCCCTTTCTGGGGATGTTAAGAAAGGAAAGCCTCTTAGCTGTAATCTCTCCCAGTTGCCCATCAGCAGCTCATGAAGTGGCTCATGGTATTGAATACCCTTCCCATCTTGACTGTCCGCCAGAGGTTACAGTGTGATCTATGAGGAAGAAGGCCTGCAAACCAGATCTCTTAAGGAGTCTTCATCCCGGCACAGCCTTCAGCCTGTTGGCTACAGGGCAGGTACGCAGCAAGGCAAGACACCGAACTTGTAAGGCAGAACAAGTTTTGCCAAGCTCCTAATAACCACGGGCTAATAAATATTCACACAACAAGAGATGTGCTTGGGTCTTCTCCACAGTGCTAAGGCAGGAGATGGGGGAGGCATCAAGATTAGCATACAAAGGCTAAGAATGAAAACTTTCGACCAATATATGATATATAATAAATATAAGGGACAGAGCATGCTGGAGAGTGGGGTGCATGAAAGGGCCCAGAAAGAGGGCTCTAGTGGCCTAGGGCTATTGAACTTGTAACCTTCTTCACCACACCCAGTTTGGGTAGTGCCGGGAACTGAACCAAGAGCCTCAAGCATCTGAAAGAGGCAGGCACTGTACCAACTGAGCTATCTCCTGAGTGCCAGAAAGCAAGTAAGATTATCCACACAACGTGAAAATAGCTTTAAACCAACCACCGCTGCTGCCCCCATCCTCATCTCCCTCTGTGGCTATCTATGCTTTCAGGTCTTTATCCACCCGAAGAAAGGCTTCCACTTGCACGCCATTTAAAACATGGCTTCTTTCGTCTGTGCCCTACCCCTTTAAAATGGGTATTTGGAGTATGTGGTCACAGAATACACTGATATGGAAAAATAAACACAATGGAGTTGGAGGCACAATTATGTTTTGAGAAATGTAAAAAGAAATTAACTGTACAATTTTTAAAAATGGAAGGCACTACTCTAGTATGTCTTTTGACTAATTTCTTGGCAGGGGTTTCTGGTTTGGATTTTGGGTTTTGAGACAGTCTTACTACTTAATAAAGCAGACTGACCTTGAACTTTTGATCCTCCTCCTGCCTTAGGCTTTAAAGTTCTAGAATCCACGATGCCTAGCTTGATTTGAGTGGCCATCACCACATATGGTTGAAGAGCTTACATAGGGAGAACGGCCAGCGCTCTCATTGACTCGGGGCTCACACTGGCTTCCATGAGGTGTCGTCTATTCACCCAGCTAGTCTAGCTGTGAGTTCCCTCCACCCATAGAGACATGAAATTCATTTTGTGGGTCATGACGAGGAATGTACTAACAGGCAAAATGAATGAAGGAGAGGAGAGACAGCAGCATTTATCACACATAGGGAGGGCATGTCTCACTGCGGTTTACAGCCAGGCAAGTTCAAAGTTCCCTCTCAGAAAGGCCAGGCACAGTGAAGGATTAGAGCTTACAATTGTGTGGAGTAGAAAATGAGAAGCCCAGTAAAGCCCGTTCTCTAAGACCCTGTAAAGCAGCGCCAGGGATTTTGATGAGATGCGCAAGAAAGAGCCATTGTTAGGTCTGGCCGGAGAGGAGCCCAGTAAAATGAGGTTCCTCGAAGATACTTTAGGTAATAGAGGGCTAAGCCATTGAGTCAACAAGGGCTCTATTGGGGCTGAGTCTCCTTCTGAGGTTTGCTCATGATTTACAACTTTGAACACAATGTCTAACAATGCAGTTTCTGCAGCAGTGGACGCTCCTGAGGAGTTGGAGATCTCACCTTTTCTCGGATCCAGAAAGATTAAGGGAAAGCTGAATATGCCTGCTGATTGTCTCCCGATTTGTTTCCGTCACAGTCCCCACACCCTGGGAGGCCACAGGGCTTGAGACAATAGAAGCAGTATGGCAGATCCAAGCCAGAGCTGAACACAATCCCCTCAACTCCTAAAGACACCAGTGTGCCCTGACCTATGACACAACCACACTGTCCCATGCGCGGAGTGTTCTTCCTGCCCTTTGTCCTCATGGTATGAACAAAGCCCCTTCCTGACTCACCTGGTTCTGAAGAGGTGGTTCTGCTCAGTCCCTCAAGTCAACACCAGAGGGGCCCAATCCCAGGTCCCTGTTCTTCCCCCCTCAGCCCTCCTTCCCACACACGTGCCAGGAACTCACACAAGGTAAAGCAACCACCCTGACAAACAAACTCACTAGTCCCTGGGTACAGGAAGTGACTCATGAGCAAAGAAGTAGGGTCACGGATTTTAGAAGGAGCCTGGCTATGTCCCAGGCACCTGTGTCTCTGTTATTAGGGAAGCTGGAGAAGACCGAAAAACACCTTTCACTAGGCTCCTGAGGTGGTACATAGCATGTTGTACAACCTTCAGCCAAACTGGGAGACTAACATCTGGATAACGGACGGACGAGGACAAGGTAAAAGGGCTGATCATGGATGAAGGCTTCCAGAGTCAAGGACCTCAATGTGTTTGGAATAAGAACCAAAGAATGGCAGAGAGCTGAGGACTAAGGGTCCAGATGTGCTCTGTGGCGAGCCAGGCGGTAGAAACCAAGGTCTGGAGCCCCGAGCAAAGAATATCCTGCCCAGCGAGGTGGCAGCTGGACAGGACAAAGGTGTCTCCACACCCCAACTGAGAAAACACTGTGAATGGGAGGGAGCTCTGGAGAAGGAGACAGCTGCCAGGAGCAAGGGCTAAAAGCAAGAGGAAGAAAATGAGGCTTGATTTCTTCAAGGGAGACCCTGCTTAAAGCGACC